TGTTAAAAGCATTATTTGTCATTTATGATGACATTATGACAAATCAGTCGCCCAATATAGACCTTTTAGACCATTCAGTGGCAGTGGCCTATACAAATGGGGGGGTGGAGGGGTAACTACTCCTAAAAAATTTCAAGGCCCCGCAAATTTAGGGGCCTTTTAAATTTTTGAGAACCTTTTTTTTTAGTCACTTTTAGGCTCTGGCTCATAAAAAGGCCTACAAAAACCACAATAGCCCAAGAAGTTTTAATTCGCCACTGCTAGGAGGGCTAGACTTACCCCCTTTAAAGGGAGTAACCCCCCCCCCCCCTCAACAGAACTTCAAACTATTAACGACAAAATTAAAAAAAAGTTTGATGCGTCATTTAAAACAAGAAAATTAAAAAGATCCACGAATGTACTACCAATTTTCAAACAACCATTCAAATTTCTTCCAACGAATTAGAGACGTACCAAACGACAAAAACGTGGGGGGGGAGGGGGAGGGGTGAAAATGAAAAAAGCTAAATTTACCGACAAGATCGGTTTTTTTTTCTTTTTTTAGAAGCCAAATTTCAGTTTTAACCGACAGAAGCCATAATTTTCGAGTTTTTCGTCAAAAACCGACAGAATTTTGCATATCTAGGGGGGTCTACACACATCTCCCACCCCCACACACCCCTGTTGGTACGCCCCTGCAACAAATCAAATTTAAATTTGAACGTCTATTATTATAGATGTGCTCAAAGCACATAAACCTTTTTGGTGAAGTTGGAAACGGAGAGCTAACTTAGGCCATTTAATAAGTTACTTATTAAATGATAATCTTCTTGTGGCAGTGTACTGTTAAAGTGCTCTAAGAAGCCATTAGGTTTGCTTGGGGCACGTTAATAAATTTTAAAATCCAGGGAAACCGAACCTGAACTTTGTCTCACCTACGAATTTTTAAGCTTGTAGATATCAAAGAAACCGATGACCTTTTATTTTAGTTGACCAAATAGGGTTCCCCCTGTCCCCTTAAAAAAATATTCACACTGCTGTATTTGGGTTCACCAAAAAAAAGGGTACTCTGATTTCAATAAACTAGGGGATTTTTAAGAATAATAATAGTCGTATACTATTCTAACGCCCCTTTACAAAAGGTGTTGGCACTGGCAGATTAATACTTCTTGGGGTCTGGGGTTATTAATTTTTTTGGATTTTTTTTTTTTTTTATGTGTCAGAGGCTAAAAATAGTAAAAAGTAAAAGTAAAAAGTCCTTCATAATATTTTATATACCCTAAATTGTGGGGCTCGGGTCAATATGCGGCAGTGTTGTAGTGGTAAGAGCGCTCGCTTTGTATGTGAGAGGTTCGGAACTCGACTACCATCTTGCTTGTAAGGTTTGTGTTTTGGAGTTAAAGAGTTGAGAGGGTTGTACCACGATTTAAAAAAAAAAAAAAGAGTAGCCTCCTTGACTGTAGTGGCCCCTCGGGCATTGGGGAGGTGAATAATGAATAATGAAAAAATAATACAAAAAGTAGCTCCCTCCCTTAATCCGCCACTGGGTGTTTGAAATAAACATGAAAATGAAATAACCAATTTTAATACATTTAATTGAAATAATAAACTAATCAAGGAAAAGGAAAAAATTATATTGATTGATCCACATGATGATTGAACAACACATGACATTGATAGGGAATAACATTTTTTTTAAATGAGCAAAGAAAAATCTAAATTATTTTCCAGGTGGGTTGATATTTTATATTTGGTTATTTATAATTATAAGTGAATGTTATATCAATATAGTTAATGTAACCACAATAGTGAACGTTAAGCTGTTGTAGTTTAGTTAAAAAAAAAGTTCATTCATGTTACAATCCAATAACAGTATTTGATAAAATATTAAAATTCAGTATTTAATAAACAATAATACAATAAATAATTTTCAATAACAAAATAATAAATTGCTGGGTAACAGGTACACTTAATTAATAAATTTAATAACTGCATATATATCTGTCAGGTTAGGTTATCCTAACGTGCTAAAGTATATACAGTTATTAACTGTTAGTAATTGTTCCTCGCTATGTATATATTTTGGCATGTTTACATCCATGTTTTCACACTTGCGTGGTTTGGATGGTTCTCCATAGTGACATAAATATGCCACTAAGAAAGAATTGAAGCAATTTTTTACTAATGCCCTCCCTGGCGTTATTACAAAATGCCCTCCCAGGAGTTATCACAAAGATATATTTATATATATATATATATATATATATATATACATATATATATATATACATGTATATGTATGTTTATATATATATATATATATATATATACATGTATATGTATGTTTATATATATATATATAATATATATATATATATATATATATATATATATATATATATATATATATATATATACTGATGTAAGTATAATAAAAGTTAGAAATAATTGACCCTAACTCTAAGTTTATCATATCTGGATCATTGCAAACATTGAAGGATTACCTTATTATATAAAGTAACTATTAAGTAAATTTTTAAACAGAATTTAAGTAGTTTATGTGCCATTAATGTTTTAAAAAGATATGTGGCTATGAAAATAGCCTTTTATGTTCAATTTCAATTTCCTTCACTTGCTTTCTTAATTTCACATCGCAATGAACGAGTCTTACAAGATTTCTTTCTCATTTTATGCTTTTCAATAACATCTTTGGCATAAGAAAACGAACGAACTCTTACAAATAATGTAATTAAGTGCTCTAGCAAATTCTTACTAACTTCGGTTGATTCTGGATCATTGCAAACTTGTTTAAAAAGAGATAAAACAATATAATTTGTTGACATGGAGTCAATTAGAACTTCAGGATCTAGTTTTGAAGAAACTTGTGTTTTTTTACGAAAAATAATCTCGCATGTTAGAAAAAGATCCTGAATTATATTGTTTACTTTCCACAAACCCCCTCTATCTCTAATATTTACAAGTGCCTGAGTATCATCTTCCATAACCCTGCAGCGCAGTAAAATTGAAACACACTGTTGGCTATACTTACATAAATTTTTACTACTTTGAAATTTAGTATACAATCTCTGAAATATATATCCAATAAGATATTGTAAACTCTTTTTCTCTATATCAGTTATGTCTTGAGTTGTACCAACAGATTCAATTATATTTGGGTTTATATTAGAAAGATTATTTAATATAATGGCAGACATTTCAGTGAGTAGTGTATTGCTCAAAGTTATATCACTGAAGTGTGAAGCTAGTAGATTTTCGCTCAGCAGTCCATAATACTCTTGATAAAATAAATCACAATTGCCTTTAAATTTTTCTATAATCGGTTTTAATTTTTGCCAAAAATGTTCAGCATCATCTATTGAAAAACTAAATTGCTCGCATGAGAATTTTTTTCTAACATCAAATGGCAGGCACATGTCCATTTCCAATAAACTTGCACATTCTTCAACTATGCTTTTCAGCTTTAGCGGTGACAATTTATTAGAAGAATTCTCCGTATCAGACATTTTTACAGAACATTTTTCAAAACATTCTAAAATATGCTTCGATGCAATGTGTCTTTTTAAACCTCTAATTGTTTTGTATAGTTTAGGACATTGAGTGCAAGCATGTTGTTTGAGATTATCTCTATAAATATCGATATCAGAAACAACGGAATCTATATCTGTTACTAAGTTAATGTCATCATTCAAAAATCCTCCTTCAAACACGTCAAACAAACATTCCAAATCACTATTTGTCTCAAAATCGCTGCTAAAATTTGCCATTATTATAAACTTGTGCAGGTTCGCCGGGTCGTCGTGTAGTTTTCAAGTTAAAATCGGAAAACAATGGAAATGGTCCGTGTTTCCAGACTATGTATTCTTATGACTATGGTTGTTGCCGTAAAGAGAAATCTCGTCAAGAAATTAAACTTGCTTAATTTCTATACTATATAGCTTATCTGTATTTTTTTATCAATAATAATTTTTCTTTTATAAATCAACAGTATTAATGAGTAGAATTGTAATAAAATTATTTAAAAAAAAAGGACTTATGCGCATAGTGATCTCCATAATTGGTATTTTAATGTGGCTAGAATGGCCAAAATGCCGGACAGAAGATGTGTTATTATATTTGTAAATATATTAAATGGCCACATTTATTATTTTAAAATTAATATAATACATATTTTTATTAAAATTTTTTGTATTAGTTATATAAAATAAGTGAGTTAAACACATTTTTTTGTTACTTTTTTTAAGAAATAAATTTAAATATATAAATATATAAATATATAAATATATAAATATATATATATATATATATATATATATATATATATATATATGTATGTATATATATATATATATATATATATATATATATATATATATATATATATGTATATATATATATATATATATATATATATATATATATATATATATATATATATATGTATACATATATATATATATATATATATATATATATATATATATATATATATATTTATATATATATATATATATATGTATATATATATATATATATATATATATATATATATATATATATATATATATATATATATATATATATATATATATATATATATGTATATATATATATATATATATATATATATATATATATATATATATATATATATATGTATATATATATATATATATATATATATATATATATATATATATATATATATATATATATATATATATATATGTATTTGTATGTATTTGTATGTATTTGTATATATATATATATATATACATATATATATATATATATATATATATATATATATATATATATATATATATATATATATATATATATATATATATATATATATATATATATATATATATATATATATTATATCTATGTATGTATGTATGTATGTATGTATGTATGTATGTATGTATGTATGTATGTATGTATGTATGTATGTATGTATGTATGTATGTGTATATGTATATATTTATATATGACTGTTTGTTTAGAATTCAAAACTAAAAATGTTCAGAAAATTGGAAAATAATAAAGACCATCTAATTTATGAAAATAAATTTGGAACAACTGCTATTGATGTGGATGATGAAAATGATTTTTATAATGAGAAACCATTAAAAAGGAAAGATATAACTCTTTGGTTTATTGATGCAGTTGTTCTTTTAATTGAGCATCTTCAATATTATGCTGTTCTCTTATCATTCTCTGATCAGTGGGAGTGGCCAATTAATTGGATTAATGCTACCTCATTTACATTGCTTTTTAATTTTGATATTTGGGAGTTCAACAAGGTTTTTACAGGAGCTTTCAATCATTCAGCATCTTCATATGTAGACTCATCTAAGTTAAACTTCAACTATATGTGGTATTTTGCATTATGGATTTTAACATTAGTTCTTATTTATGCATGTTTTGTTTTTATTTATGTGAAATGGATGAACAGAAGACCACTTTATATGTTACTTTATATTGCAAGATGGAAACGGGTTATGTTTGTTGTATTAGAATTATTAGGCATTCCATTTGGTGTTGTTGGTGCACGAATATTTCATTGTCGTTTAAATGAAAATGGGTATGTTATGGATGTAAATAATGCAACACAGTGTCTTAATGTATCACATTTATTTCTTGCTATTTTTGTATCACTAATATTTTTTTTATGGTTTTTATGTTATCCTTATTTGCTGAGGAAATGGATATCAGAACAAATATTTTCAGGTGATCGGGCACGACATGAAGGATATTTGCAGCTAAAGGAAGCTGAATATGAACAGGGTTTAAATAAATTATGGGAACTTAATCAGTATCATTTGTTTTCATCATTTCAAAGATCTTGGGTATTTTATAATCAATGGAAATTTATTTTTAAATTTGCTTTAATTGTTGCTTTTGCATTTTCTATTAGAGCTGAGTTCTGGTCATCTGCAGTTGTTACACTATTATTTTTTGTTGCAACGCTTACTGTTCTTATTCAGCAGCCATTTAGAGTGAGATGTTTCAATTCTATGCTAGCTATGTGTCATTTTATTTTGTTCTGTAATTCTCTTATAGGAAATTTTACAGTTAGGCCTCCCTGGGTAATTCTTGAAAATTTTCAGATAGTTTCATTTTTACGTTATCCTACCATTCTTCAAATGCTTGAAGCTATCAATATTGTATGGTTATTGTTTGTATTTTTATGGATAGTTTATTTATTTCTTTTAAATAATTCGTTATTAACTAAGGGAAAAATTTGGCCGCGTCTTTCATACAGTTCAACAAAAGTTATTGGGAATAACACAATGAAATACTTAATGGCTTCTTTAAAAGCCAGACAAACTTTAAAGAATTCCACAAGGGCGATACCATTATTTGCGCCTGTTCACGAGTTAGCTCATGAAATAAAGGTTATTAATGCTTTTTGTAGAGAAGCAGAGATACTATCAGATCCTACTCACGACACATTGTGGGATTTATTGGATGAACTTATTGAAGCTCATAATGAGTTGAGTCCTGTTTCTGTTTTTGGTATGTCTGTTAAAAGTTCTGTTAGAGAAACTTCAGAAGAATTTATCAGACTCATGCCAAGTTTCCGTAAAAGACTTATGCAAAGAGAATATGATTTCATTTTAATTTCACCTCTAAAACGAAGAATATTACTTAAAATGTATACTTTAGGTATGAATTATTGTTTATGAAATTTTATATTATAGAATATTCAGAATCAGAACTGCCATGTTGTTTTTTATATTAATCAGGTAAAGTTATATAGTATTATACTTTTTTATATGGCTTAAGTAACAATACTTTACATGACATGTACACTAATATTCCAAAGCAGCTAGAATATTCAGAATCAGAACTGCCATGTTGTTTTTTATATTAATCAGGTAAAGTTATATAGTATTATACTTTTTTATATGGCTTAAGTAACAATACTTTACATGACATGTACACTAATATTCCAAAGCAGCTGTGTCCCAGTGGGTAGAATTCTGGCTCAAAACCAAATGGTATACATATGTATATGTGTATATCTATATATATTTATATATATATATATATATATATTTATATATATATATATATATATATATATATATATATATATATATATATATATATATATATATATATATATATATATATATATATATATATATATATATATATATATAGGGCCTATTCTAGGAAAAAAATTTGAGCGGTGGTACCCCCTTGTTTTGGCGGACTTTAGCAGAAAATCAGCATAATTTTTGTGAAAAAAATAATGTTTTGCGTAAAATGTAAAAAACGTAAAAAAAAAGGTCCTCAAATTTTAATTTGGGCGGCACCCAAATACGGTCGACGCTGTCGAAAGCAGTCTAGAATAGCCCCTGATATGCTCACTTTTTCTGCTTACCTTTTCTGCTTACCTTAAGCAATGCCGTTTTTTTCGAAAAAGAAGAAAAAAAAAACGAAGAATGATGAATGAAATGATTGCTGATCCATCCCAAACCCTCAGTCGATGTAGCAGCACTCCACTGCGAGTCAGGCTATTTGTCAGTTGATGTATGTACTGAAGCCCCCAGCAGCAGGCTATTTCAGTATGACGTCAGATTGCTTACCTTAGTACGCAATACTATATATATATATATATATATATATATATATATATATATATATATATATATATATATATATATATATATATATATATATATATATATATATATATATATATATATATATTAGGGTGCCCTAAAAAACAACATTTTTGAAAAATATATGCATTTTCTTATCATATTTATGCATTTTTTGCAGGAGTCTTTATTAGCCGAATAAGTAAAAAGAAGAGAACCACTTCATTGGATTCTCCAAAGCTCTTTGATTCTTTAAGTATTGATACTGAGATTGGTTTCAGTTCAGGAACGTCAATTCAATGGGATTCAGAATTTTTGAGGTCAGAAAGTAATGACAAATATCATCAAGATATTGATGGCATGTTGTCAGCTAGTAATAAAGTTGCCAGTGACAATAAGCAAAATCGTGTTGTCTTTATTGATGAGTTTAGTGATGAGGTAATTTGTAATTAAAAACAATTCTGCTTTTATAACAAATGTTAGAGTTTTATTAATACTATGATGCTTCAGCAAAAAATAAAAAATTTGTGATTTTTTTCTTCTTAATCTTAGCTTGTTTCATATTAATAATGATGCAGTGTTAAAATTAAATTTATTACTTATAACAATTTTAAAAATTGGTTTATTTTGTTTATAAAGCATAGATTTTTTGTAGGAACCGTTTTAGAGTTTATGTACAGATAACTTGTACAAAGCACCTTGATGAACAGCACTTTTGGCATTCCATAACTACAATATTTAATATTTTGTTAATATATTCTATACTGGAGAATAAAATAGATTGTATATAAATTATGCTAGCGAAAATTGTTCGTTTTAATATTTAACACTTATTTTGTAATACTATTTATGGCAAAATATAAGTATACATTGGACAATGTATATTTTTCTAAACATCACCTTGGTTGTACTGGTTTGTTTTTTCCCTAAAACTATGGGTTACTTTTAATCAAATTGTATATATGAAGATTATATGCACTTTAAATTTATATTTTTACAATATTTTGACACTCAAAATTCAGATATGAATAAAACTGCTGTTAGGTATGTCAAAACTAATCAATAGCAAGGTATGATAATTATTTTATTAATATTATATAATTATTTTACCTATAATTGCTTTTATATATAAATATTATTATATAATTAAAAATATATAATTTATTTATAATTATATATAATTATATCTATAATTATTTTTACCCTAGTTTTTCATCATTAGTTATAATTTTTAGTAAAGTTATCATATTATAGTTACTATTTATAGTGTTTTTTTTAATTTATATTATTATTATTATTTTTTATTATATTATTATTATTGCAATTATTAATATTATCTTTATTTATTAGTGCTTTATTTTCTTTACTTTTTTTTTTTTCTCTTGTTTATAAGTTAGCATTCCTTGTTTATTGCTGTTGTTTTTTTTCTTTATTTTATTTTAAATTTTTTCCGTGTTTTATTTAGATCTCACTTCATTGACTAGTTTTTAACTATATGAGTGACACCTAACCTTATTTATGAGATTTTTTTAATATATTATTGTAAATTTTTTTATAATTTACATTAACAAGTTAAATAAATAAATATATATATATATATATATATATATATATATATATTATATATATATATATATATATATATATATATATATATATATATATATATATATGTGTGTGTGTGTGTGTGTGTGTGTGTGTGTGTGTGTGTGTGTGTGTGTGTGTTTGCTCATACGAGAAGGAACCAATCTATTTAAAAAAAATTGAGACACCTGCCTAACGCAACAAACTCAAACTACAAAGAATTAATTTATCCTAGCAGTAAAATGTCTCAAAATGGCATTTAAGTTGTTTCGCGGTCTTCTTGTTTTTTAGATTGCTTCTACTCTTTTTTTGATAATTTTGTATTTACTTTAAATATAAATGAGTATTGAATACAATAGCCTAAAATATTTGTACTATGTATCTAAATGCATAAAGATCAATAAAGATGGCAAATAGGTCCGCAGGCCTATTAGCGGTCTCATAAAAGTTTGATTTGGTGAAAGCATTCGTAAATATAACGAATAGTTTTAAAATCATTAAATTTTAACTGATTTTTTTTTAAAACCAATCAAAAGCATTTTAATCAATCATTAGCCTTTAAATCTTTTTTTAAAATCAGTACGAGTAAATCAAATATATAATTTTAAAATCATTAAATTTTAAATAATTTTTTTAAACCAATTAAAGCCATTTTAACCAATCAATAGTCTTTAAAACAATTTTAATATTAACTTTATAAAGGTAAAACTTAAAAAATTCAAAAGAAAAAACCAACCAGACTATTACTTTATTTTTGTCATGCTTATTGAGTGTAATCTAAATTCTATATCCTACAAATATATATATATATATATATATATATATATATATATATATATATATATATATATATATATATATATATATATATATATATATATATATATATATATATTAGAGTGGGTCATAAAATTTTTTTCTTGAATTGCTAAATTGAGTATGGCCTAGAAAGTAGTTTTTTTTATGTACTAATTTAGGAAAGTATTTACTTTTATGGATTGAACAAACTCTTCCACCCGCAACATTAATTACAAAAATTAGTAGGCCCTATTATTATTCAAAAAAGAAGTTTTTCAAAATTATGTGATGTTGGTACTCAAATAAAGCGAAATTTTATAAAAATTTCAAAAATTTTAATTTTCTCATATAAAATTTGTTATTTTAGATTTTATGGCATAACAACTATGGTTTTTTAACTAAAAATAAATAAAGTGCATATTTACAAGTTTTTTATTAAAATTTTTTTTTTCAGAAATATGATTTTTATAAGACAATTTTTATCTTTAAATTTTTTATAAAATTTCGCTTCTTTTAAGTACCAGGTTGACCTACTTTTAAAAAACTTTTTTTTCCAAAATATTAGGAAATCGGTAATTTTCCCAATAAAGTTGCGTCACAATCATTCTCATATTTGATAGTATCACTATTAATAACTATACACAATGCTTAGAGCCTGTAACAAGAAAAAAAAATTTTAAGACCCACCCTAATATATATAATAGTATATATAATATATATATATATATATATATATATATATATATATATATATATATATATATATATATATATATATATATATATATATATATATATATATATATATATATATATATATATATATATATATATATGTATATATATATATATATAAATATATATATATATATATATATATATACATATATATATATATATATATATATATATATATATATATATATATATATTATTATTATTATTATTTATATTATTATTATTATTATTATTTATTTCAGTGGTCAAACACAAATACAATAACCCATTTATAATTTGATAAAGAGGTGCTTCACCAGGCCCCTCTATGCTGACGAACATGGAAATACAGACGCTACAGACAAAGCAGCAGTTTTATCTATAAAGTTACTTTCTTATGTTGTTTTTGAAAGGGCGAATGTAAGTGAGATACAGAGTGCGCCAAAAGTAAAAACTGAGACTGCGAAATGTTTTTTTGAGTCGCCCTAGCATTCTATTTGCTACTAATGCGTCTGACTCTATTCGCGGTCTGACTTTAAGATCATTCAAGACCATCACACGGTCTCTTTCAACTGCGGTTTTTTCGAGAGGACGACGGGTGCCGTCGACGTTAGACATTGAGTATTTGTACGTCAACTTGTTATATCCGCGCCCAACATGCATTACTTTGCATTTCTCAACGTTGAAATGCAAGAGCCAAATGTGTGACCATTCCACTGCTCTGTCAACGTCATCTTGGAGAGTGATGCTGTCCGACTCCTTTTTAATTATCAATATTATTTTGCTGTCGTCGGCAAACAGTTTCATATGATGAGTAATTCTGTCCGGCAGGTCGTTTACAAAGATTACGAATAGCAATGGGCCCAAGACCGAGCCTTGAGGCACTCCACTAGTGACTGCTTTCCATTCAGAAGTAATGCTGTTTATAACCACTCGTTGACATTGATTGTTTAGCCAAGCTGCAATCCAATCAACGAGAGCGCCTTGAATACCGTATGCTCTCAGCTTATGAAGGAGGCGTTTATGTGGTACTTTGTCGAACGTCTTTGCAAAGTCTGAGTAAATGACGTCTACTGCGTTTCTGCAGTGAGTTGCTTCCGTCATGATGTCTCAAGTTTCTAAAAGGTTTGATACGCATCCCTTATGATGAACAAAGCCATGCTGGTTTAGAGAAATTAGACCATTAGCAACGCAGTGTTCCATTATTCTTTTTTGTAAAATACTTTCCATAATTTTGCAAGGTATGGAAGTGAGCAAGATTGGCCGGTAGTTGGATGCTTTTAGCCTACTATCTTCCTTGAAAATAGGTGTTACATTCAATTTTTTCCAAAAGTCAGGAACTATACCAGTTGCAAACGAGCATTTATAGATAAGCGAAAGAGGCTTGGCAAGGGTACCTGAACATTTACTGAGAACCCGTGGATGTCATCGTAGTCGGTTGATTTTTTTTCATCCAGGCTGTTTAGGCATTTTTGTACTATGTCGATAGAGAAAATTGCTGGATCAATGACACAAACTGCTTCTGTACGACTTTCAAAGCCTGGCATTGAACCTTCGGGCTCTAAAACAAACACTGATTGAAAATAGTTGTTTAACGATGCGCATATATCACCGGTGTCGGTTGCGATGTTGCTATTGGCTGTTTCAAGCAATGTAATGTTGTTACTGACGCTCTACTTGCTTCTTATATATGCATGTAAGCGTTTAGGGTTGCTTTCGGAATCCCTGACGAGTAGCTCTTCGTACTTCTGCCTACCAGCTTTGACCATTTTTTTAACTTTTTTGCAGGCAGTGCGATGCAATATTTTGAGAAATTTGTGCGTTTCTCGATCTGCATTAATGTACTTGGCCCAAGAGGTGCGTTTAGCTTTGACTGCCTCAATAAGTTCTGGTGTTACCCATTGCTCTTGTTTTTTAGTAAAGGGACAGAATGTGTAGGTTAGTGGTTTCATTGTACACGCTTGCTAGAAGTTGATAATCTTCGTTTGCATTTAGTCCAGTGAATACTGCTTCCCAGTCAACAGCTGCAATATGTGCTGATATTGTTGCGAAGTTTGCTCGACTCCAAATGAGTCGAGGTTTTAGCGGCAAAGTAGACGAGTTGTTGAGTCATGCAACAGCAAATTGGCCTTCGATGAAGCAGTGTGCTTGGCCCATTGGAGTGTCACCAAGAGAATCGCCTTGTTTAATGAAGATTACACGGTCTGGTTCATTTGTTATGATTAGGTCGAGTGTGCTAGTAGGCTCGACGTGTTGACTACTACGGTAGGTTGGGAATGTGATAAGTTGAGTTAAGTGACATTCATCAAGGCACTTCTGGAACCTTGTCGCCTTGACGCTCACCTTTTTTTTTTTTTTTTTTTTATTTTATTTTGCTGTTTATATAAATTACAATTTCCTTTTACCAAAAATAAAATATAATTGCAAATGTACAAGTAATAAACAGTCAGAGGCTCAAAGAAGATATGGATGGCAAAATACCAATCTAATCTTTTCATAGAGCCCCTACAAATCATAACAATAATATATGGTAATATATGGTTAATAAATCAAGTAGAAAATTTAGGGAAAAAAAAAAGAAATAGTAAAAAAGAAGATATAATATTTAAGAATAAAAATAGAGAAAAAAGAAGATGTATCAATTAAAAGTAAAAACACCCTCAATTAGTCAAAAAAGCAGATATAATATTTAAAAATACATATAGTGAATAAAGAACATATAGTAAAATATATATATATATATATATATATATATATATATATATATATAGTTAAA